CTCAGCTTGATGGGATATGAAAGAAAGAATGAGAGGCAATTTCTGCACTCTCTTAAGAGCAGAATAGACATGGCACTAACTGCCTGTGTTTCTAAAACTGGTGGTTTTGCTTCCTGTTTCCACCTGCTTCCTCAAGGCAAAATGGAGGCTGCAGAGCTTGGCGTTGTTTATCTTTCTGGGCTAGCCTGGAGATGCAATTGGCCACTTTAGTCTTCTTCACATTTTCAGATGGCAGCTCTATGCTGTGAGCACAGGGAATACTCAAAGCAGGAATTATTCCTGCCAGCAAGGTACATAAAAGTGATTATATGCTTGCATCTCATATCACTTTTTCCTCCTCTAAATGTTTTATTAACAAATTCCCTGGGATTCAGATCCTAAGACTTGATGAGGAAGGTTCAGAAAGGTCAGGCAGCAATTATAGCACAGAAATATTCTGACCCAGAAAGGAAGGAAAGAATGAGGAAAGAGGTGGAAAAGAGAAAAGGAAGGAAGGAAGGAAAAAAAAAAAAGAAAATAAGATGTGCAAGCAACCAGTCTCTTAACTTGTTAATTTATGCCAAGGCAGACAATCAGAGTTTATATGGAAAGAAAAATGTCCTATTTTTTAGGAACAGGAGCAATTTAAGAATCAAATCCTGTGAAAATTTCTCACAATCTGCCTAATTAAAATGTTGTGGGGGGGGGGAAGCCCTACACACAATATGACCCTTAAAGAGTTAAATATTGGCTGGAATCTTGGTGTACAACTTTATGCTGCAAAGATTGGATGAAGTCTTCAACCACAGCTGCTTGGGGGGTGGGGGAATTAAAAGTTTCCAGTATCCCCTTCAGGTTCCATGGACCCCTGGAGAATTTCATTCATCCTGGGGAAGGCTTTGGGAGCTGCAGACAGAGGTGGGGTGGTGCTTGAAAATCACTGTTGTCAGTCCTGGCAATGGGGCTTAGATTTACAGTGCCAGGTTTTGATAATTAAAAAGTCCCCCTCTGCTTCTGCCTTTTCCATAGGCTTCCTCAGAATGAAAGGGATCCCCAGGCATCCCTGGAATGTGGTGTGTATGTTTGTGTGAAAGAAACGGGGAACATAATGCCCTCCAAATAGCCATGGTTGATGACATCATCTAAATTGTGCTGTGTAAAGTTGCACAACAGGATTCTGGCCATTAATTGGCTTCTATAATGAATTAAGGCCACAGTCACACCAGAGAAATGCTCCCTAGTTATACTCCTCTCAAATCGCTGCATAAATTGTGATGCACGGCCATTATCGAATCATTTACCTGGCAACGAAGTAACTGTGGTTAATTTCCCCCTCACTGAGAAGCTTCTGTTATTTTGTTCCATTGGTGTTTTGATATATTCCTTAGCCCTCTGACAAGTGTGCGCAACCCTATCGATTCTTTTCTGCAGCCACATCCCTGGGTAGGCGGCTGCCGTTACTGCTGCAAAGCTGCCCTGCTATAATTTTTTTAGCAACCAGTATGTCGATATGTCTGTAAACTTATGTCAATGGCCAAGTAGGTGTTACATCACTCCACCTACTGTTTGGCAAGCTTGGATTGGGGGGGTGGGTCCATTGAGTGCAATGCGATTCTACCAGAGGCGCCAATGCAACAGAGGAAATTTTATAGAACCCATTGTATCATTATTATTCTTTTTATGAAACTAAGGGGCTGTAGTGCCTCTGAAAACAAAAAGAGAAAATTAATTGGTATCATGGTATAGCTGGCCATGATGACTAAATTAGGAGGAAATGAAATGGTAACGTTAAAACACATTGGAATGTTTGTTCAGGTATTTATATAGCACATGAAAGTGATTCAGTACAACAAAGTGTGAAAAGTATGGATAGCACAGGGGAACATTTCCCTGGTGTGACCTCAGCCTAAACTGTTGGAAACTAATTGTGAAAAGAAACTGGTTCTCTCCTGCTGGTTTTGGGGTTGATTTTTCTGCCCAGAAACACTGAACATGCATCATGTAGAACTGCAGATATTTTGTGAACTGATTTCAGCAGTGTTTACATAGTATGAAAAAAAGGAAGGCAAATCTTGGCTGAAATTTGTTTCTACTTCAGTGAATAGTACAGATCTTGAAGCCAATAAACTCAACATATCACTCAAAAGCAGTTCTTGACGTGTAGTTTTTAGTCATCTAGCTATGCAGCAAACATGTTAAACTGAGGAGAAAGATAAGTACATCTAATTTCAACATATATTTAAATGTACTTATGGGATGAAAAACTGACACAAATTAGTGACCACATTCCCAAAAATGCAAACAATTTCTATAAAGAAACAAAGAATGAAATCGTAAACATCATGGAACAAATTGTTTTTGTGTTTTGTTTTGTTTTTTAAATGCTTCAGCTGTCCCATAGTATACGCTTCTGGAACACTCTACTACGGAAAAAAAAATACCCTTCTGGAACACTCTACTACGGAAAAAAAATGTGTGAAAATCCTGCTTTGGAAAGTGAATATGTGAAAAATGGCAAGTTTTATGAATCTTTGTTATGAATAGCAAACATTATTACTTTTGATGCTGCATCCTTTACAGAGCTGACATTGAAGATAGTTGAAGAAAAAAAATCTGGATCCATCCAAGTTGTTAAGCCAATATTATGATGAAGTACTACATGTTCTGAGTGGTAGAAAAGGAGGCCTGTAAGCCCTAATTCAACAGAAGCTTCAAAGAAAAAAAAATCCCACACGCCCATTTCAGCAGTCATGGTCTCCACCTGGTTGTTGTAAACCCTGCAGATGATATAAAATGAATCAAGCAATATTTTCACCAATATGCTATGCTTCATACATTTTTTAAAGAGCATGGAAACACTGTAAGTTTGTATGACGGTTAAAGTCTTTCTGTCCTTTTGAAACATTTTTGGTCAATTACGGAAGTTGTTTCTGCTGATTACAAGAACATCATTGCTATTTTTTTTTAAAGTGAAGAGTAGAGTTTTTAATGGGGATAATGTTGCTCAAAGTGAATCATCATCAATCTTAGAATGGCAAAGCTGGAAGGGACCGTATGGGTCATCAAGGAGGCACCATGGGGAATCGAACTCTCAAACTCAAATAAACCACTGAGCTATCCACCAGTTCTTTAGTCAACCTGCCGCACATTATTTCATAGGATTTGCTCTCCAGAGAAGGAGAAAGTGGTGTTTTGGACAGCACTTCCTGGAATCCCACAGCCAGCATGGCAGTGGCGACATTGACTAGGAGACTCTGGGTGCTGGCACCTGAAACTGTAGCTACCCAGGATGTTGTTTGTGCCAACTATCCCTGTGAAAGTTTATGACCACGGCCATTTTGTCTATGCCACTATACCATTTTCCTATCCCCTCAGGCTCGCTATATATTTATACCCGAGGTGTTGTATGTCATGGCATCAGAAGTAAAGGGTAGGGCCCCCTCAGACACAAACTAGTTCATTTTTCTGAGGGTTTGTGGTGGTTCGTGGTTAGCCGCAAACCACAAACCATCATGAACCAGTGGTTTTCTGGTTCATGCCTATCTCAATTTATGACCGGTGGCCATTTTCTCCTTGTCATTTCACCATGTTCCCATCCCCACAACGTAGGTCATTATATACTAATACCTGAGGCTCAAATATTGTACATTGTGGCATGAGAAGCAGAGGGTTGCAATCCACACAAACTCAAGTTAAAACGAATCTGGCAGTCTTCACAGTGCTATATGACTCTTTGTTCTTTTATGTTAGGTTGGTACAGACCAGCATTCCTCCTGTTTGGACATATTCCCTTCATTGTTGTTCTGATCCTGCCCTCCAGTTTAGCTGGAGGATTTTCTCAAAGTGATATTGGCACCAGGGCATATTACTGTAGCTTTCAAGCCATACTTCCCCTTCTCTACTTGTGTGAGTTACTTTGACATGCAGTCATCAGATCTCTGTGTCAGTTCAGAGGGGAGAAAAGTGATAGCATGACTGCATGAGGATCTGGGATATTTTTATTACAGTTATGTTTGGGTATCAGAGGCTACAATCTTCTTACTGCGGTTGGGAATGGGAAAGGTAGAAGGCTATCACCATCATCTCCTGCCTACAGATTTAGGTATTTTGTTGGCCACTGTTTGGGGAAGCTGACATGAAATGTGTGGAGTGTATTGTGCTAGCAAATGCAAGCACCATGGAATTTACTTGGAATTGGCAGCAGGATCATAGCCATGTAAAAAAAAACATCAGAATGGAGGCAGCCAGGATCAATCACCTCTTTAAGATGAATATGAGCAACAAAAATATATAAGTGATTTCGAGAATGCAGATTGCATCAGTCCATATGACATGAAATAACAGACTTTAACATAGGCAGCTATAGCAACAGGTGAAATAAGTCTTTATTGAAGGATGCCAAGGGTTTCCTAGATTGTGAGAGTGGCCAATGAAAAAGTACTAAGGGGAATGAATTAAAACCAGGAAATCATGTAACGAGAAAATAAAAATACGGATGATTACATCTGACCATTTGAGGTAAAATAAATGAAGAAGTACAAAGACAGTGAAGAAGTTGTTGACTGAGAATAGTTTAGGGATGCAAATCAACGGTATTGCGCAGAGATCCTTTATAGTAAAAATAGCATCTATACTTACCAACCTCCAGTCAGGAAGGAAAGAGAGGAGCATTTGCTTGAAATAAACATTGCTATTCGTCTCCTGATCGTTCAATGTAATAAGGAAGAATGTGTATCTGTGAAGATTCCCAGGCATCCAGGTGAGGTTATTTGGAAGTCGAGTCATGGCAACTGGACTTCTTTCCTACTAGGTTGGATGAGTAGCAAAATGTTTCAACCTAGTAAGAAAGACATCCAGGCTCCATGACTCAGGTTCCAAGAGAGAACATGGTGTGATACCTGATAACATGCAAACTCACTCTAACAAAGACAGCAGCGACACACTCTTTCATTTCTTATTGGTCATGAACTTCCACAAACAATTATCATGGGAAAACACTAATGTTTTTATTCCCCTGAAAAACACAGTTACCCTCATTGGGTGCACAGAGGTTGGGTTTCACCTTAAAATACAGGTACATATATAAATAGTATATTGTAAAAAGCCAATAAGTGATCAATAGGTTTTTATAGGCATATTATCAACATAACGGGACTCCAGTAGAGATGGTTACAATGACAGCAACAGAAGGGGGTTTAGATGGTCTTAAGGAAGCTACCAAGTTTCAGCCAGGCTTTTACCAGCGATCAGCACATTGAGGGAGGAGCCATGGACATTGTTCATGAGCGGCTAGAGATCATTGCCCCAAATTATACATCTGTGTAAGTTTGCATGCACAGAGGGATCTCATTCGAAAGCATGTTTTCTTGCTCATTTCAGTGAAGCAACCTGTTACATATAGGCTTGAACCCAACCTGTCCGTCTATCCAAATGAACAGAGAAACATTTCTTATCTATTTTTTTAATGATAGATAGAGCTTCACATCCAACTGATGGAAAACAGTGATCTGTCGGAGATCAAAATGTCGGTTCTAACTGGAATTCTGGATGTATTGTTGCTCTTCCACTGTATTAGGTTTCTAATCAAATGTATGAGCTAACTGCAACTGTTAATGTAAATTAGAAAAGAGTCATTGAATCAGTGGTGCTTATGTATATGCTGATATACCAAAGTCTTGTTGACTTAATAGTAATAATAATCCTAGAATTGCAGAGCTGGAAGGGACCCTATGGAACATCAAGGAGGCCCAGTGGGGAATTCGAACTCCCAACCTAAACCACTACGCTATCCAGCAGTTCTGACTTGATGACTGTATTCTAGTTGGGAATTAAAAATTGGACTTTGGTTACTGTTACACTGAATAATTGAAATCTGATGGCTGTTGACATTATGATGTGAATATGGACAAATTTAGAATTATGATGTGACTCCAGGACAAATTTTCACAAATACTCCTCAGTTCCAGGACGCATAGTGAATGTTGAGTGTCATTTATGCCAGCATTGAGTCATTCACAAATTTCAACCTTCATCTGTACATGTCAGTATTGCCTGAAACATATGCAGCATTCTGCCTTTACTGCAAGGAGAGCAACCAACTGGAGAAAGTTTCTCCATTACCTCTTGTGCATATTACAACCTGAAAAGTAATGACAGTTCCACACGAATACCTGGTTTTAAAAAGCCCATACATGTCACATAGTTGCTGATAGGATGTATGAAACTAGACAGCTTACTGTACGTCATTACCTGAAACCTTAATTGAATCAAAAGTTGAAAAAGTGTATAATATTCATACATTAACTACTGTCCTATATTTATATATATGCATATATACCATTATGCTGTATAAAAACTTGTGGATGAGTCCTTTGTGAAGAATTTAAGACATTCTTGTACATGGTTCAATATGGAGCAGGAGAGAAGTAAAGACCGATTCTACAAGAGTTTGTTGCTGCATTTTTGCATTATTATTATTATTATTATTAATGTTTGCTGTTGTTCATTATACAACAGGAAACAGGAGGAAAAAAAACCCTCCCACCCCCCAAAGTCTTCCATTTCTACCTCTACATACAATAACTTACAAGTTTATTTATTTAAATAATTGTAAAACATCTTACATTTTTTCCATTTTAAAAGAGATTAAACTATAGGCAAATACACACATACATCCACGTTCCACCATTCGTATCAGTTTTATAAGAAAGTCTTCCATGCTGGTACCCTGTTTCATGGTTTATTTATTTATTTATTTCTGCATAAACTAAATTGGTATCTGAAAGGCTCCATAGAAAATAGAAACTTCAACTTTTTCCCCCCTACAAAGTAAAACAAAAAGAGTATCCAAAATATCAAGCTTGAATGGTTGGCTAGTCTGTTCCTCTTTTTAATTTTTTACTTTTATATATTTTTTTTTTACAAATGTTAGGAAGGTTTTGTAGCCATAAGAAAACAAACAAACAAGTGGACTTGGTCTGCAGATTCAATCCCATAAGCAGTGGACACCTGGATCTTGGCAATTCCCTCTTCTTAAATGTTCTTGGATATTGATGCAAGCAAACCGGGAACAGAGGAGGGGAGCCGATCCAGAAAAAAAGAGTCCCCCCTTTTTTTCCTGTGCATCGCTTCCCCCACCAATAGAACTTATAGTGCTTTCTTGATTTTTTTTCCCATCTCTTTTTAGCTCCATAACGACAAGTAGTTTTTGTGCTGTAAAAAAAGGAAAGAAATGGGGGGGGGACTTCCAACAATCCCTCTTCTTTTACATTGGAGGAACAACAAGACCAGTCATAGCTGAAAACAAAAAAAGGAAAACATTAACATCTCCATGCCTTTTAAAACAGAAGAAAACACAACTGAAACATAAGAGAAGAAGCTGGATCTAGTCTCAGGGTGCAGTCATATATGCCAAAGAGCCCCGATTATATAAATTCTACCATTATTTAATCATTTTATAAATTTTCATTGACATGATGCAGGGTAACATATTTTTTTGTCCAGCTAAGTTCCCACCACCACCACCTTGCTCATACGGCCATTTAAATTTGATCCAAACCCTGTATCACTTCAGTCCTTATCATTTTGATGAATGCTGCTGGCAATTTATTTTCTTTGCAAACAGGTTGGGTTTTTGGAGTGTCATGGCCACTGCATGGCCACCACTCTTATACCCTTTAATTTTAAAAAAAGGCTTAGCGATAAATCACTTTTTTTTCATTTATATTTTTTTCTCCACAAGAGTTTACCAATGTATGCTTAGCGATAAATCACTTATTATTTTCTTTTATATTTTTTCTCCACAAGAGTTTACTGATGTATCACTTAGTCAATGTCTTACCTCTTGTACCCATCATCCTGGCTTTTGTGTGGCTTATAATTGCTTAGTCAATGTCTTACCTATTGTACCAATCATCCTGGCTTTTGTGTGGCTTATAATTAATTCTTTTAACTTTTCAACAACAATTTCACTCCTTTTTAATGCTGCCTACATTGATCTAGTGACATATCCCACCAGTTGGGGCATCAACTAACAATTGCAAGTGACAGGAAAATGGCATGTATATGCTGCTTTTGAGATATTTACTTATGATTTTTTTTTAAAAAAAGAGAGAACATTTTAGGGCAGCAGAGACCCAGAAACAGGACGGAAAATGAATCGATTTACATGGGATGGCATTTGTAGACAACAAAACCAGTACAAATAGCAAGAAATGTATTGTTTGACCTGACAGCCACGTGAATGGGCCCAACGGTACATACAACACATGACTATACATACAAATATATTGATATTAAAAAAGGAGGAAAAACAATTCTAATGGTCTGTGTGAGTAGGCCCTCAGTTGTTCACCTTCTAACCCAGTCAGTAGTCCAGCTGATGGCGGTCCTAATGGAGCAGCAAGTATAAATTTAATTAATTTTTATTTATTTTAACTGGGTCAAAGGAATGCTTATCCCAGAACTGAAATGCCATGGCACAAGGCTTCTGCTGTTAAATCAATGTCTTCAGTGGGGAAAAAAAATGCAAGGAGTATTAATTGATTTCTGAAATGCCCATTCTTGCACATGGTCTGTCATCTCCTGGCATATGAAGAGATGACTTCATGGGACTTTTTAAGCCTACCTGTTGTTCTCGAAGGCTGTTTGACAGGCTGTTCCTTCCCTTTGGGGCTGGGCTGCCAAAAGCCTATTTCACACTCTATACTACTTTTTATTGAATGTTTGTGAGCTATGGATTAAGGTCTTACACAGCTCACAAAGCTGTAATTATTTTTGCCTGTATTACTATATATTGAATCGATGTAACTTTTCAATAAAGGTGGTTCAATGCAGGACAAGACATTCCACAATGTGTGGGGGAATATTGGAAGCTCCGTGATTATCCCACAGGGAGTCTCTTTTCTCTCTCCTATCTTTTATTGGAGAGAAATGGATGGAAGAATTAGAGAGGTGCTACCTTGTGTTAGCCTCAAAAGATGGCCATTATCTGATGAAACGCTTGATTAAACCTGTCAAAAACCATCCAGATGCTGTGGTGACATACACACCTTACGCACATATTGTTAATAATACTAATAAACATCTTTCAAAGTAAAGAACTTTTGTTCCTCTTCTACTTGCAAGGAAGAACAAATATGTAAGAAGAGAACCAACTGTACAACATTGGTAACAAGGAGAGTAAGATTGGATGATAGGCAGAATTTTTATGATGATTTAATACAATCAGAAGCAGTTTCTAGTCTGGAATCTGCATGGTACCACATGCAGTTGTGGGTACATTTGACAAAATGCAAACGTTTAATTGAAACGTGTACATTTTCCCATGTGCCCCTTCCAAATACGTGTCAAAAACGTGGCATGAAAATGCCTTAAGTCAAGGGGAGAAACACATCAAGGCAACACGTAGAGCTTAAAAAACATGCGCAGAAATGTGAAGAGTAAGGTTATTTTTTTTTAAAAAAAAGGCCACCAAAGAAAATACAAAATGCTCTTAATAAAGAAATATAAAAACGAACCAAGAAACAAGAGAGGAAAGCAGACTCCGATCAAACACAGAGGTGAGGAAAGGAGGACGTTCATGGATCTGGTTTTAATAGATCTGCACATCGCTAAGCATAAGAAGCTGTCTTACTCAGGACACAAGCTGGGATGCTGTTTGGTTATGCCATTCGTGTGATGACTGTACCATGAGTGGTGCATGGGATGACCGTAGCATGAGGGCACTTGGGCAAAGATGCATCCATGACCTCTTTGTTGAACCACAAATCAGATATTCCTAAAGGCGTTTTGTTTCCGTAAGTTCAATGCTTCCGGAAGCATGAGATTTCCCCCCCCCCCCATGTTATCAGTCCGTGCATGTTGCTCCCTTGATGCTCAACAGGATCCTGGCTGAAATGTTTCGACGTGTGAACACTGACAATCCCAGAGGGGTTTATTAATGCTTCCAAAATGATAACACATTCTTCCCATCTATCAGATGCAAGCAACCTAAATGATCCACAGTCACATTGAGATATCTGTCAGCCTTCATTGATGCGTCTCTGCATTAATTAATTAATTAATTAATTCCCAGCCCTTTTCAATGTGGACACCCTGAAATGATTATAAAACAGATAAAGCTGGAAACACAGCCAATTACGATATTGAAACAGAATTAAACATACGGCAGGGAAAAGAGCACTGGCTTCAAACAACTCCAAACATTTAAAAACACACCAGAAAAAGAGAGAGAAATGTTGCATTCTCCCTTGCAGCCTCCTTTCTTTCTAATCTGTTCAGTCACCAAAGGCCTGGCTGGCAAGGAACTCTTTGCCCGCTTGCATGTTATTAGGGAAGAGGCCAGCCTAAATCTTCTGGGGAAGGAAGCTTTAGATCCTAGGGGGATCATTAGAAAAGCCCAGTTTCCTTTCTCATGTCCTTCCCAGACATACCTGTGAGAGCAGTGGGACCAAACAAAAGGCCTCCACCAGACAAATCTATACAATTCAAGTTGTATAGGGTTTACACTTTGAACTCAGCCTGGAAATGGTGCTGTTATAAAGTGAAAAGCAACGAGTGCTGCCTATACAGTCATGCCCCACTGGATGATTACCCCGCTCTACGACGAATCCGCATTACATTGACATTTTTGTGATCACTTTCGTGATTGCAAAACGATGGTTGAAATGGGGGAATTTCACTTAGCGATTATCTGTTCCCTGCTTCAGGGACCGATTTTCGCTTTACGACGATCAGCAAACAACTGATCGTCGGGTTTCAAAATGGCCACTGGTTGAAAAAAATGCCCCCCCCGTTTTCTAGGACGGATTCCTTGGTTTACAGGCACCGAAAATGGCTGCCGCATGGATTTTTTCTAGGATGGATTCCTCGGTTTACAGGCACTGGAAATGGCTGCCGTATGGAGGATCTTCGCTGGACGAGAAGATATTCAGCCCATTGAAATGCACTGAACAGTTTTCAATGCATTTCAATGGTTTTTTTTTTTGTTTCGTTTGACAATGTTTTCGCTCTACAGTGATTTTGCTGGAACGAATTAACATTGTCAAGCGAGGCACCACTGTATTGCTTAAAGCACTCTCTGGGCGGTTTACAGTTCAAATATGCAGGCTATACATTGCCCACTGCTACCAGCAAGCTGGGCACTCAGTTTATTGACCTTGGAAGAATGGAAGATTGAGCCAACCTCAAGCCAGCCACCTGAGCCCAGGATAAAACTCAGGTCGTGAGCAGAGTCTTGACTTCAGTATTGAAGTTTAACCACTGTGTCACAAAGCCACCTGAGCCCAAGATAAAACTCAGGTTGTGAGCAGAGTCTTGACTGCAGTATTGAAGTTTAACCACTGTGTCACAAGGCTCTTTAAATAGGTGAGTTGTGTGCTTACTACAACTAGTTCTTGCCAATGTTTTTTGCTGCATTGTGCCAGATCACTTGAGTTTCCAAACAGTCTCCAAAATCAGACCCACACAGAACATGTTATAATAATCCAAATGGGATGACATGAAGCCCGATCAGATGTCTCTAGGAACCGGCGCAGAAGGCGTGGCCACTTTAATGGTGCAGACGTGCTCCTGGGGTGGCTAGAATCAGGAAGTCTAAATTCTGGAATGGATTTGGAGGCATTCACAACATGTGTTGAGGCTTGTCAACTCCACTCAACCTTTTGGACAGTTGCTACAACATGCCGTGCTGCCAACGATCGCCACTCAAAAGAACTAAACTCAGTAATGATATAAAAGGAGAGATCTGGGCTCAGAACATCTGAAAAAAGTCAGGCACACTTACTTAAGGAGGAAAATATTGTGGCATGTAACTATTCGACTCCCCCATTAGCTTCTACTGATGTGGCCTCTGAGGGATACAACAGTAACTTACTGAAAAACCAGCCTCGGTATTGGTAACAAGATATACAATCGCTCTGGACATGTGCCGCTCAAGGTCTCTCAAATTTCTCTCATTACTAACACCATCACGTCTTCAATGTATGCTTCCTCTTTGTAAAAATACTTGCCTTTTGATTGAGACAGGGTGTAAGGGACAGCTTCTAACACATGCAATGCAAACCCTTCTTGGAACTGGGAGGGCAGTTCTCTCCCTCTTAACTAAAACACCTTGATCTTAAACTCATTAGGGACAATGCAAACAAACTGAGATGGTGTGGGGTGTTTTTAAGAGCCAATTAAAAACTTGGCTCTCCAGGCAGGCCTTCCCTCCTGTACAAGACTTGACTTTATTCTTATTATAATTTTCTGTTTTCCCATCTTGAGCATTACTAACATTATTGTTTTGAATTGTT